ATCCCCGACCAGGCCAACGTCCCAGCACTGAGGTGCTGACCACCCTTGATCGGCTGCAAAGGGCTGAGCACATCGTGTACATGACCGACACCAGACTCCCCAAGCCGATGCTCTACTCCCAGCTTCGAAATGGCAGGCAAGGCCCAGGTGGACAGAGGAAGCGCTTCAGTGATACCCTCAAGGCCTCACTGGTGGACCACCCAAAGTGGAGGAGGAGCATCCAGGAAGGCGTCGAGCATCTCAAGCCTTGCCATTGAGAAGAAGAAGAAGCCTGGCACAAACAGCAAAAGGAGCGCACTGCCACATCAACGCCCCACACACCCTTCCCATGATCACCTTCTGCCCCAAGTGTAACAGAGCCTGCAGTAGAAATATCAGTCTGTACAGCCACACATTGGCTCACCCTGAGAGTGGAGGAGAGTGCGAGGGACCCCCAATGATGATGACTAACTTCCTTTACAGACAACGTAGAAGGTTCTTTTGAGTCATTTATGATCAATCTACAAAATGGCATTAATTTTTTCTATGGGTGCATGGTGAGAATGTCAAAGGTAAAATCAAACATACCCTACCTTGTCAAGCATTTGACAATCCATATAGCCCATATAAATGGTAAAGTTTTGTTGATGTTGCAGAATACACAATATTTTCCAAAATGACACAGTACAAGTTGAGAAAATCCCAAAATGACTTGCATGAAACCACAACCCTTTGATTAATGAAAACATGTCACACGATAATATATTGCCTCTTGAAACATGTTCAATTGTTCCAATGTGTCAATGCCACAGTTGTAAAAGTAAGAATTCCAAATGAAAGACAAAAATTAATAGAATGTAAACATTTGTAGTGAATAATGCATTAATAGGGGAAGTAGTTTCAATATAATAAAGTTTAAAATTTTTGCTAGAACTCCCAGTTCACGGAAAGGAATATTAATATACTCGTTCCCTTATAAGATCAATTCCTTATCAGACAGTTAATCTATCTGGAATTTAAAAATTAACAACCAGTCTTCTATTTGTATTTCAATTGGAATTCTTTCACAAATAAAATACTTTTGAAGCTTTTGTACATTACTAAAGCTACTGCTTATGACTAAAAGAAGACATTCTCAATGATCAAATTCTCTTGATACTTCAGAATTACCCTTTCAACCAAAAATAACCTTTGAATCTTTCTGCCTTTGGTAAAAGGCTATGCCAAATTCTTTTCCCTCCCTTTCCAGACACATGGCTCACACAATGTTTGCAGAGCTTCAGGATTTCTTCCCCTCTTGACAGGATGTTCTCAGCTGGCTGTTCTCTTCTCTTCTGCCCATGTGACATTGCAGTGGATGAGTTGGAATACATACCAGGAAGGACAAGCTCACCGGCAAGAATGCCGATACTCTTATGATGACTCCAGCATCCACCACCTCTGCTCACTCATACGGAATTCCACTCGTGCAATGTTAGCACTTGAGAGTTCAATTACATGTTCATCACATGCATTGACAAAGACCTTGGCCTTGACAATATCCTCCACCTTGGTCTCCAACCCAAATTGCAATCACTGTTAGCTCTGAACTCAACTTCTCTCAAGCCTACTTGGTGACCTTTGGACTGTGTCCTCTGTAAACTCTAAACTATCTGATGCTCCTTTGCCATCATCGTCTCCCATGTCAAGTTCCACTTACCTTTCATTTTCACCAAAATTCATCTACATTTTTGTTCTACATTTCCTCTGTGTACTTGTCCTGAGACATTCTCCCGTGTAGCATTGCTGGAGCTTGGCATTCAGGCATGAGCAAGGAAAGATGTGAATGTATTGGAGAGAGGCCAGAAGTGATTTGTAAGAGTGGTTCCAAAAACTTCAGAGATGAGGATAGATCGAAGAAGTTGGGAATGTTCTCCTTGGAGAGCAGAAGGCTGACAGGAGATTCGATAGATGTTTTCAAAATCTCTCAAAAGACTAGCTATGGTAAGCTATTCCTGCTTGGAAAAGGATGCTGGAACTTTAAATTATAAACAGAAGTTGTTGGAGAAATTCAGCAGGTCTGACAGCATATGTGCAGAGGAAGGAGAGGTAATGTTTTGGGTCCAGTGACCTTTCTTCAGAACTCAAAACATGAGAGGGCATCGATTTAAATGACATGCAAAAGAAGTAAGTAAGGGTGATGTGTGAAAGAGTAGTTACTGTAAGACATGCACTTCCTGGAAGAGTGGTGGAGGCATGTGGAATTGAGGCATTCCAAGAGGGCACTGGATAATTATTTACAGAGAAATAACGTGAAAGGGTATGGGGGAAAAAGCAGAACATTGGCAATGATGCTTGTCTGAAGAGGTGGGGAAGACACGATGGACTGAATGGCCTAGTCTGTGCTATAAAACTTCTGAGAATCTGAGTATCCTCTAACTGGGGCCTCCTCATCTCACCCCTTCCATTACTTCACCTGAGATTGCAGGCCTTTCCCAATTTCAAGGTCTGATTCCTTACAACTTCTCCTTAGGACCTCTGTTTCCTACTTCTAAAAGCCTGCTCAAAGTGCATCACTTGGGTTAGTTTTTGATCTCTTCTCCCTATCCTGTCGTAGAGCTTCAGATAGCAGCTTCTTTCCGATTCCAGGACACTGCTCCAAGTTTAAAGGTGGTTTATAAATGAAACTTGTTTTTGCTTCAGAGCTACCACCCAATTTCATAGGCTAACTATTTCCGCCCTGTAATCCAAAGTTGTTTTGGCAATGGGTGGTTGTCGTTGCCGTGTAATATAGAAAGTGTTCAGAGCAAGTAGCTGCATGTATCAGGTGGTGAGGACTGGCATATATGGATTAGCACTTTGAGGAGCATTCACTTCTGTTGCCACTGCGGTGCTACCTCCGAATCCTCCTATTAATTCAGCTAAATAATGCCATGGGTCAGATTTTCCCATCATTAATTAGAGGCAGGAAGGCTAAATGAAAGGTACTGCTGCCCTGTGTGCCGGATAGCTGCCTCCATTCCCAGTTCTACGTGCATTGGTGAAAACAGAGTTTAAGGGGTAAGGTAGGCTAAGAAAGTGAAATTGCCCACCTGGCTAAGTCGTCATGTTGAGGTCATTCAGAAGCTACAAAAAGGTCACTTTCTGAGACTTTCATCCATGCGGGCAGCTGTCAGGAGTCAGAGAAGTTGACCAGCTCCATCCTGCTGGGTACTAGGAGCCCCAGCGCTGAAATAGTTTTATTTGATGGGAAAAAGTGCACATTTGGACAAAAGCATTCTACTGAGCAGCAAGTGAATGTTAAGAACCAATCTCCTGCAACTGAACGCCAGGTTCCAGCTCTTAATCTGCTCAGAGAGATTAAGATCCACTCACTTTTTAAAGAACAATTTGAGCCCAGGGTATCTTCCCAGTGCGTTCTCCTTCCCCTCACCAGCCACTAATTAGGTGGCGAAGCAGTCGTCAAGATCTGAGCCCCATAAAAGCCCATGTTCCAGCAGAGAAGTAACAGAGCTGGGAAGGTGAGCTAGAATTGTTCCTCCCTTTGATTCCTGCCACCAACCAGAAAATCTGGCTTCACGCCTTGTTCTTTTCGCTTCTAGCACTATGTAATTTTGTATTAATTGCTTGTGATAGACTTTTCAATGATGGCCCTCGCAAGAAACAAGCAGCTTTTCTCTTCCCCTTTTTGTTAACTTTCCCAAAATCATTTCTGTACAGGAGCCATCCTCAGAATATTGGCACCTTCCCCAGCTAATGGACTGCTGTTTACGCGTGTCCACCTAAGTCAGCAAAGGGGAAAATATAGCCCTTGTATATTATATGAAAGGTTAAGCTCAATTCACGCAATGTCTACAATCACTACAATTTATAGCACTATATGATGCTGCAGCACTGAACCTACTAAATCAAAAACCTTTCAGTGGTTTGCTACTTAAACTAACGCCTTAGCTTACATTTTATTCTGTTTTCATATCTGTAACTTTAGTTATTTGTGTTTGGAACTTTATAAATAATCACACAATTGCTTGCAACAAATATTATGACGATTCTTGTGTCAAATATTATTTTTTAATTTATTGGCTGAACATAGGCATCAGAATTTTGAAAGATGACAGTTTTAACTGAAACAAGAAAACTGAAACTATAAAAAAGCTGACAATTTGCATTACGAATCCACATTCCTCTTCACTGGGGTGGAGATGCAGTATCTATGAAGACCCCATCACACAGAGTAACTTTTTGAACTGGGTGTACTTTGTCACTATTCCAATACTTGTTGAATTCAAGAAAACCTGTCTGGTTAATTCTTTTATGTATATCTGCAAACTATTATGCATACACCAAAGCTGGCAATGTATCTTTTTTAAGTTCAAAATCTGTGTTACAGTCGAACAAGAAGAGGAAGAAGAGGAGAACCAATCCACACCTCCTCACTTGGTCATTACACAACACGGGAAGGGTACAAGACTGAATTCTGAGAACAAGGGCATCATACAAATTCTGCTCCCCAAATTGTGACTTCCTTTGCTACATCCCACCAATTATTAACTGCCATTATTAGCAATATCTTCCAACTGACCTCTGAAAACAGCTCAACTTACAATCAATGCAAATGGTTGATGTCATATCAACAGTTTATATGAAAATCCATGAGTTTGCATAAGGTTGACTAGGATGCAAAATATATTGCACTGTGACTGCCCTGCAGCTCATAATATATTGTGTGTTTTTCATGACATCTCATCAACTGTTCAGATCTAGGACTGAATTTACTAGCGACACTAGCAAAGACCAAATGTTTAATATTTTGATCTAAGAATCATATTTACACGTGATATCTAGACTTGCAAATTCATACAATTTATTTTATTATTTCACAGCCATAAAACCAATGGAAAATTGTTCATGCAATTCTTCCATTTTGCATGAAATTAATTGGATACAATTATGCAATAAAGAGCAATCTTTCAGGAAAATAAACTTCTCCATGCTTTTTACTCAATTATCATTCTTGGTTGCAGTGAAATCTCTTGACTTACCAGCTCCACAGAACCATAGTGCTTCCTGCTGAATTCCCCACGCCGGCAGCCCAGATCTTCAGAGGCAGAGCTGGAAGAGAAACACTTCATCAGAGAACATATCCAATGCCACCAGGCCTGTCATGCAAAATTGCTCATTGCCAGCTGGTATAGCTCAAGCAGTTCACTCATGCCATGGCCTCTGAAGCACAAACAATGAGACTTTCCTGCAAACAGCATCAGTTGCTGCATATTGCTGCATAATTAATCCCCAAGAAAGGACAAATCTGGATTGTGTGAGGCTTTAGATGTAAACCAGTGGTTCAATTAAATATTATGTCGTTAATGGATCGATAACGGTTTTGAGGATTCTGCTCAATAGTGATTTCATTTGAGAATCTTATCTTGGGAAATGGGGCCCTGCAGTAAGCATGGTTTGGCTGATGTGTACATAACCCAGTTTAGCCAATTTGTTTCTTATCCTGTTTTGTTTAATTAACTTCCAGAAAGGTGAGTCTATTCATTTTCCAAAAGCTTCTGGAAGGAACAGCCAATTGTGGTCCATTCCTTAGGTTCTACAAGACATCGTCTCCTATGTAAATGCCTAACAACATACGTCGGACAGACTTAAAAAGATTGAATACTTGATAATTAACAGTCACTTGTTTCTTCCCCTCCATTGTTAACAAATATTTGTATTTGAATTAAATTATTCATTTCTCCCCACCTTTTTAATTTGTTGCTTTTAAAAGTTTGAATTGCATCCAAAAATACAGGCCACATTTTGCACTGGCACTTCAATAACTCTCTGAGCTTGATAACATTTCATCAGTGTTGCAAATGTTAACTACTATGCTGCTGATTAAGACGCATTGGACAACTGGACTGATGGCTTGTCAGACAGGCCCACTCACAGACACATTAAAAGTGGCCACTTGGCAATAAAAATGTCAACAAACCTGAATGTGTTCAGCAGAAGCAGCCTCCCCCCCAAGTGTTTGCAATTACAGTCTCCTGCAACACTGAGGTGAACTGTGAAGGTTAATGACATCTGCACAATGACAGCCAACAAACAAAAGGAATTTTATATGAAGATCTTGTGTTTCTTGAGTTGGATGAGAAATCAGGAGATTCATGCTCTGCAGTTTTTCTTTATCATTAAAGGTACAATTCTGAGTAAATCTGTGGTAAATTCAGGCCTGGTTTAAAAAGGAAATCCCAGGTTGTATCAGCAGAAATAGACAGATGCTACAAAAAGATCGCTAGTACGATAAGGTATCTTCCTTCATCTGCCAAGGAAAAACCCACTTCTGCTGTGTTCCTAAAACCTTCTGTGGCTGCTGGAATGATGCCCTTTCCTGCAGGATGCTATGACAAGGCCAATGCTTCACTAAGAGAGGGATCAATGCAGAAATGCTCATTTGTTCCACCAGTATCTCGGCAGGGAGAATAACAGTGGTGGAACAAAGAGAATTTTTTCCAACTATGTAAGCAAGGGCAATGAATGATATCAAAAGCGAGTATAAGGCTTTGAACATTTTGAGGGAGGGAGAAGTGGCTGAAACAACTGCTCATAACTATAACTGTCAATCTTGTCTGAACAATTCTAATTAAGTAAACATAAAACATTTGAAAGCAGCTGGAAAAACACTTCTTATTTGGCAATTACATTTGAACTACATTCAAAGTGGCATCAGCTTCACATCTACAACACTATTTAAGCTGTAAACATAGCTATCAAACAGAGTTTTTTGACTCTTGCATTCTTCCCTTATCTCTCCTCTCCTGAAAGCACTGATTTATACAGAGTATTGTTCAATAGGTTCCAACAGTGCTCCAATTTGCTAGGAGGGAATCAAAGTCATCCCGCTCTTCAATAAACAATCACGCATATACCTTCAGTAAATATCAGTGCATATCCTTCCAGCAGAGGTCACTGACTGGGAAGCAGTAGGAAACCTGCTTGGCCAGCATTTCCCACTACCAACCCAGAGAGGCAGCAGCTCACACGGCATGAGCAGACATCAAACCCTAGACCCTCCTGACCTGTATAGCTTAGTTGTATCTCACTGTAATTATGCTCTGACCCATCAAGGGAGCTCAATTCCAGCTTAGTTTCAAAAACAAGGACTCTGTTTTTCAATTAAGCATGCCTGACAAGAAAAACATATTTGAATCTTATACAGCTAGGTATTAGACAATACTCCCATGTGATTTTAAAAAATATCAAACATCAAGTGATTTAAATAGTTTCCACCAACAGTCACATCTTTAACAGTAACTTACATCTGCATTATACATGAATGAGCCTGGAAATAGATATGGTAAATAACAATCGCTAAACCTTTCACAAGCATTATTTTAGTAATCTCTTACTGTTGTACTGTTAAACATTATGTTAATAAAATTGCATCTTGTGAATTATTTCACAAAATCTGTCTAATCATCAAATGGATCCAGTCCAGTCAAAAAGCAAGGTTATCTAATAAAGAGATTTGTAACATAAATGTCTATAGGACTCTATCAAGTTCACGTTCAAAGAGAAAACAAAATCCTCCCTTCCTTTATTGTAACGCATGTTAGATATTACAAAGCCACCGTTTAGTATGCAAATATGGTACAATTAGGTTGTACAAAGGCATAATGCTGAATAATAGCCCTAATCAAATTACTTAGTGATTATTATTACTGATCGTTAAGAAATTTACAGGTGGTAGGAATGACATGAAACATTCCCAGGACAGGCAAATTCTGAATAATGCGGAGTGAAAGTTATGATTATATCCGCACTGTTAAAAAGAAACCTCAAAACAAACTGTCCGTGTTTGGTGTTGGTGTCTATTGCACATACTGTACATCCGCACTGGAGAGAAATAAAACCATGTAATTCACCAACCAAGCAAGTTAGTTCATTGATGTAGTGTAGTAGCATTCAGCCCTCCAGTACACTACGCCCACTTCTGTTGTGGGCCTGCCTTTTAATAATAAAACACCTGTCAGCCATCAGATAATAAATATTTGTCTTTGATCGCTTGAAATAACACGGCATTTCTCTTAACCCTATAACAACAAAAGTTTCGCGTTTGAAAGGGGACAAGAAGAAATGGTGGAAAAAGTGCAGAATTCTCGCTTCCTCCTCAGCGCAGAGGGCTTGTATTTTTCTCTCCTATGTAATAGTAACAAAGTAGCAGACAGCATTTTGACAATACCTTCCGATCGTCTGCCTTGGCACCTCGAGCAACATTCGGGAACCGCAAACCTGATTCAACATGTTAAGGCGATATGTGGCGAGGCGCCCGCTTATTCCCAAACAGGCAGAATGAAAGCAGAGATTAAAAATAATATTGAAATCTGTTTTACCGTTGTGTGAGACTCAGCAGTTTAGTGGAAGCTGTATCCGCACTGCTCATATCCATGCATGCGTTTCTCGATCAACACAACTAATCAACGAAACTGGACATTTCATCTGCTGCAGTTTTAAATGGAGAAAAATGTAACTTCACGTTCAATTCTGCAGACTTATTTTTCAGTGAGAAATCCCCCCACTGCGGGTGTTGGAAGAGTGTATGTTTCCAGCACCGCACGGCAGAAGCAATGAAATGCCCAGAAGAATGAAACAACATAAAAAGAGGCGACGCATTAGCAAACGTGAGCCGCCCCAGTTCAAATAATAGCAGAGTAATGAGAGCTGACAAAACGTGGCTCACATCTTAAATAGTGAATGTAGACTGTGTGCTTCAGCACTTCATTCTCAACACATAACAGACACACACCCCTTTACGAAGTGTCAACACTCTTCCCCACCCCTCCAGCCACACTGCAGCCTGAAGTACCACCCAGAAACGGCCCTTTTGTAGTTTCTATCCCCTCAGCACTGCCTTGGGAAACATAAAGGGATTCAGGTGGAAGGACTACAACTACCGGCGGGCTCCGCGTCCCAGTGTCCAACCCGCCGCCTCCACCGATTGGCGGAGCTCCCACAGTATCCATTCCAGAGCGTTGCGCTGGTTACATTTTGATTGACAGGTGTTAGAGAGATACCTGCACATTTGGCACTCAGGATGCCGCAAAATGGTCCGGGCTTTTCGCTGTGTTTCGGTCAAAATAATTCTCAAACATTCACATTCGTTCATTTCATTTCAATGCTCAACGACCACCACCATCCCTCCCCACCTCCCCCCCGCAAGATCTACGTCCAACACCATTTAATCCACGTTTCCCAACTGACAAAAAGTGTTGGGGGAATACTGCATTAGATATTTGCCACACTAGCCTGCGTTGTATTTTGTGTTGCAGCTCAGAGTGTTAAGAAAAGCCATGAAGGGGCTTTTGGCAGGATTGGCTCAGTCCAGGAACCACACTACGCAACCCCTGCTTTCAGATCCATGATTAATATTATCCAGGCAGTCTGGAACACCATTCTAAAGTTATAATTATACAAATCTACCGAGTTAACCAATAGCTAAGGGCTGCTCATCTGCAGAAATAAGGTGACGTGGACAAAACAAATTAACAGCAGACTACTTTTCAATATTCACAAAATTGAACAGGAGTGCTTTCGGCATCACAGCTGTACTTACTGATACAGCAGTGCACTGCTGAGAGTGTCATATTGACAATGATACATTAATGTTTGTCTGGTCAGAGGGACACATTGATCCCACTGAACTACCTAAGGAAGACGGAGATTCTAATCGGATCCCTCAACCAACATCAATATAAATGATCTTTTCACTTACTGCTGTTTCTGAGATACAACTTTTACAAATTAGGTGCCATGTTTCAATTTCAAAAGCATTTCATTGGCTGTGAAACATGTTGAAATGTCCTGAGGTGATGACTGGTGCTATATAAATGCAAATTCTTTGATTCATTTTTCTTTATTCTACAATAAATGATGTCAAATGCAGAGATGAAGACCTCTGTACTAGAAGTACTTGCTTCCCTAGTCAAGTTGTTCTTGTCCTACTATAAAACTGTCTTAGAATCATAGAGAGATACAGCACGGGACCTCATATCTGTGCTAGCTCTTCAAAGGCATATCCAATTAATCCCACTCTCCTGCTCTTTCAGCAAAGCATTATAAATGGTTTTACTTCCAAGAATTTATCAATTTCTCTATTGAAAGATATTGTTGAACCTGCTTGTATTACCATTTCGGGCAGTGTATTCCAAACCACTATAACTTGCTGTGTAAAAACTGTTTCTCATGTTACCTCTGGTTTTATTGCCAAAAACCTTGAATCTGCATCTTCTGGTTACCAACCCTTCTGTCACAGGAAATGATCCTCCATTTATCCAATCACCTTTAATGATTTATATCCATACAGCTATTCCAGTACTCATGTTAAAATTACACCATAGACCTCATATTGCCTCTCTTCATTCTTCCGAGCAAAATGTAGAAATTCACACTTTTTAATGTCAAATTTCATTCATCTGTCATTTTACCAAGCCATTTTTGTTCTCCTGAAGCCTGTCTTTATCATTCTCATTGTTTACTGCATGTCAAAGTTCCATATCATTTGTAAACTTTCAAGTGATGTTTTGCGTACCTAAATCTAGATCATCAATGAGTATGAAAAAAGCCAGTGTCCTTGTACAAATCCCCAGGAACACAAGTGGATCATCCCTCCAGACTGAAAATCAGCTTTTACCACTACAGTCTGTGTTTTGTCTCTGAGCCTATTTTGTGATCATGTTGCCATGCCCTTAGATCATGTTTTAATTTTGTTAATAAGTCCATTACATGATTCTTCATCAAATGCCTTTAGAAACTGTGTATAGACAACATCAGCTACACTATACTATTTTTACCAAACTATTCCATTACTTCATCAAAGAGCTCAATCAAGTTAATCATATAAGATTTGCCTTAAACAAATCTGTGCTGGCTTCCTTTTATTAACCCCGACTTTCCCAAACACCAATTAATTTTGAATCAGAGATAGTAGGAACTGCAGATGCTGGAGAATCCGAGACAACAAGGTGCAGGGCTGGATGAACACAGCAGGCCAAGCAGCATCATAGGAGCAGAAAGGCTGACGTTTCGGGCCTAGACCCTTCATCAGAAAAGGGGGAGGAGAAGGGGGTTCTGAAATAAATAGGGAGAGAGTGGGAGGCGGGTAGAAGATGGATAGAGGAGAGGATAGGTGGTGAGGAAACAAACAGGTCGAAGAGGCGGGGATGGGGCCAGTAAAGGTGAGTGTAGGTGGGGAGTTAGGGAGGGGATAGGTCAGTCCAGGGAGGACGGACAGGTCAAGGGGGCGGGATGAGGTTAGTCGGTAGGAGATGGAGGTGCGGCTTGAGGTGGGAGGAGGGGATAGGTGGGAGGAAGAACAGGTTAGGGAGGTGGGGACGAGCTGGACTGGTTTTGGGATGCGGTGGGGGAGGGGAGATTTTGAAACTTGTGAAATAAACAACTGCACCTCCCAGTCGCGAACCATTTCAACTCCCCCTCCCATTCCTCAGACGACATGTCCATCCTGGGCCTCCTGCAGTGCCACAACGATGCCATCCGAAGGTTGCAGGAACAGCAACTCATATTCCGCTTGGGAACCCTGCAGCCCAATGGTATCAATGTGGATTTCACAAGTTTCAAGTTTTCCTTTTATCTACTTTTGTTTGATCTATTATCACTACTACCTCATACTTTATTGAGCATCATCCTCTTCTATAGTGATGAGAGGTGCAAAGTATGCATTTAGTGCCTCAGTCATGCCTTGGACCTATGCGTGGTGGCTCAGTGGTTAGCAGTGCTGCCTTATAATGCCAGGGACCTGGGTTCAGTTCCACCCTTGGGCAATTGTCTGTGTGGAGTTTGCATGTTCTCCTGTGTCTGTATGCATTTCCTTTGGGTGCTCCCACTTCCTCCCACTGTCTAAAGATGTGCAGGTTAGGTAGATTGGCAATACTAAGGTGTCCGGGGATGTGCAGGCTAGATGGATTAGCCATAGGAATTGGGTGGGATGCTCTTTAGAGGGTCAGGCCAGGCCTGCTTTTACCTACAGGGATTCTATGAGATCTTCGTTTTGGTCCACCATTTCTTTGACTAACCTTTTGTTATTTCCATGTTTACAACAAACGTTTGGGTTCCTTTCCCTGCTAGCCACAGATCTATTCTTGTATAAAGCGAAGTGCTGCGAACATGCAGATCTGAAATAAAAATAGCAAGTGCTAGAGAAACCCAGTAGGTCTGGCAGTGTCTGTGGTGAGAGAAATGCAGTTAACCTTTTAAGTCCAATCCAACTCCAGAGTTCTGAATAAGAAGAGTCAAATAGGATTCAAACATAACCCCTGTTTTTCTCTCTCTGAAAACCTATTCACACGCTCTTACATTGTTCTTTTTATTCCCTCACTTGGATAACCTCTTTCCTTCCCGTCCATCAACGTAAACAGTTGCTCAAGAATCCTTAAGAAATAGAATCAATCTGACTCAACTAATTACTGCTCTACACCACATGATGAGAAAAGTTATCAATTATGCCATTTAATGCCAATTATTTACCAACAATCTGTTCAGTGTGTGTTCTACCAAAATCTGCTGCTCCAAACATTATCCCAAATTTGTTTCAGACAATAGCTGAATGCATGAAAAGAGCAGCTGCCCTTAACATCTTCTCATGGCAAGTAGGGGTTGGCAATAAATGTAACATTGACAGCACTGCTACAGCCCCAGAAACAAAGAGGAAGAAAGGGTCACCAATCTGCAAAGTGGTTGAGATTTGGATGAGAATATCAGAGGCATGGTTAGTAAGTTTGCGGATGATATCAAGATTGGTTGTATAGTGGACAGTAAAGAAGGATATCTTAAGGTGACAGAGATCTTGATCAACTGGGACAACAGGCTGAAGAGTGGTTGAAGCAGTTTAATTTGGATAAGCATGATGTATCGCATTTTAGTAAAACAAACAAGGGTAGGACTTACACAATTAAAAGTAGGACCTTAGCTACTGTTGTAGAACAAAGTTTTTCTAGGGGTCCTTGAGGCCACACTCGGTAGAAGGCATCCTTGATGTCAAAGGCTGTCACTCTCACCTGACCTTTGGAATTCAGCCCCCGTTTGTCCATGTTTGTAATGAGGGCAGGAGCTGAGTGGCCCTGGCAGAACCCAAACTGGGCATCACTGAGTAGGTTATTGCTGAGCAGGTGCTGCTTTCAACACTTTCCATCAGTTTACCGATGATCGAAAGAGGGCTAATGGGGCAATAATTGGCAAGGTTTAATTTGTCCTGCTTTTTGTACACAGGCTATACCTGGGCATTTTCCCACATTGTTGGGTAGATGCCAGTATTGTAACTGTACTGGAAGAGTTTGTCTAGGGAACTGGCAAGTTCTGGAGCCCAAGTCTTCAGTACTATTGCTAAAATGTTGTCAGGGCCAATAGCCTTTGCACTATTCAGTACCTCTGACTGTTTCTCGATATCACGTGGAGTGAATCGAATTGGCTGGAGACTGGTATCTGTAATGCTGGGGACCACTGGAGGAGTCCGAGATGGATCATCTACTCAGCACTTCTGGCTAGAGATGCTTCAGCCTTATCTTGTGCACTGATGTGCTGGCCTTTTCCATCTTTCAGGATGGGTATATTTTGATATGACTGACCAAAAAAGAAGAAGCAAAAACAATAATAAATAGCATTTATATAGCACCTTTGATAATTTAATATTATTAATATATCAAGATTTCCTAACATATGGAATCTGAAAAAAATGCTTACAGT